GGAGGATGTGTGTATCCATACATACTTGTGCACAGGTAGGAACTGAGGAAGCTGACCACTTACCATTCCTTCCTTCCACAGGTGTCTGTGAGAGACAGGGCAGTGAGAAGGACCATTCGCAGAGATTACTCAGAGAAACAAGGCTAAGTCTCCCCAAAGGAAAACTTCAAGGATCTTATTCCTGGGGTGATGATAAGCACATACACGCATACACAGAGCAAAGTAGAAAATGGCATCAAAGAAACCTGTGAAATCGAGGAGAATGATCATTTATATACCTGGGGTAAGTACATGTTAAGGCAAAGATAAAAATGTAAACGGTTGTCAAATTATCTGCCACATTTTATCTGCTCATCTTGGCACATACGTCCATTTTTAGGTGGTTCCTCCCTATTGGTACCATTTTATTCCCACCATGCGCTCCTAATTTGACGTAGATATGTTTTCAGCTGGAAGGTCTGCATGGGTGTGGGAGGATGGGACCCCTGGGGTCTGGTCCCAGTTGTTGGTTTCCAGGGCAATCCTTTCTCTTGGTTTCCTTGCCTTTCCACTGAAAACCCCTTGGTCTTCTTTGCTGGTTCCTCTTCTTCCTGAACTTGAATGGTAACTTGTAGACTGCTGTGAAGGACTTGGTCCTGATTACGTGTCTCTTCATCGTTCATATCCTGATTCTCTAGGAGACGTTAATGCCAGGGGTTTAAATACTTCTAAATATTTTAAATTCGTAAATCATACATTTCTCTACCATATTCTAGACGTGGATAAACAAGCGCCTCCTTGACGTCTTCGTCCACACGCGTCATTTGCCTCTCCAAGTGAACACGTCTAAAAACGATATGGGTCTTGATTGATCCCAAGCTGTTTAGTCTCTCATCTTCCCCTTCTCAATAAATGGTACCACCAACACACCTGGTTGCTCAAATCCCAAACCTGGCATCCACTGTTTACTTCTCACGTCCTGTCCGTCACCAGTTCCCGCTAATTCTATCTCCTAAACATCTCCCCAACCCCACCCCCTCCCTCTGTATCTCTATACACTTTACCTTTTCTCTAGTCCAAGTCACCATCATCTTTTCCCCAAATCACTGCAATTTCCTGGTCCCCCGATTGTTTCTTTTGTGGCTTTGTAATTCATTCCCCCACAGCCTCTATGTAAATCATGTCATGTCTCTTCTCCTCTTGAGAGCCGTCATTGGCTTCACAACCAACATCCTAAGATAACACCTGAACACCGCCCCCTGTAAGACCTACCCCTCGCTCCTTCTTCAGCCTCATCTTGTACATCTCTCCCTGCTGCCCATTCTCCTCCCAGCACATGGCTTTTGTTATCACTTGAACATCCATGACCTGTCTAGCTCAGAGCTTTTGAACTTGTCTGCCCGGAATGCTCTTCCCTGCTTCTAGCAAGTCTGGCTTATTCTCATCTTTGACTTCTCAGTTGAAATATTACCTCTTCAGAGGGAAATTTCCCAACCACCCTCTTCAAAGCAGAATCCCCAGGTTCATTTCTGACTCAGCATCCCATTTATTTTCATCAGAGCATTTACTACAATATGTAAATATCTTCTTTATTGTTTACTGTTAACATTTTCTATCTAGAATGTCATGTACTTATTGCACGAAAATGTAAGCTCATAAGAGCGGGTGGGTTGTCCAGATCACTTCTAAATCCCCAGCACCTGGCACATGGTGGGCAGCCAGTAGCTTCTCAATGAAAGCTTGTTAAATAAATGAATGGTTCCTACCATTAGCGAAAATGTGTGGGTTTAGATACAATTAGAAAAGCCTATGGTTTCATGAAATTGGGGCTCAGTGAACTCCGGGGAAGCGTTCGCCGGTCACTGGAGGTGGCCTTGCCGTCTGTGGATGGGGTTATGCTTCCTTCACACAGGAACTGGCACTTCCAAAGGTGTGATCTTACTCACCCTTAATATTTGCTTGAGAGGAAAGATCTAGAAAAAAGGGCTTTTCTAAAGCTAAGAAACGAGTCTCTTTCACAAAAGAACTAAAAACAGAACTCTGATTCATGAACTTGCTAATGGGTTTTCCCTCCAGGGGAAACTCCTCGTGCACAGTGAAACCTGTCTTGGGGCAGAGCCTTGTGGGGTGCATGTCAAAGTAACCACGGAGCATCAGCTCTGCCTGTAGCTTGGCAGCCTTAACCCAAGTGGTATTCAAAGGGCTATTCCTTCCACCACGTTAGACTGTGCACCCTCCTGGCAGAATGCAGGTTCCTTCCCACGTTTCTCCAAGATTTGTTTGGAAGAGTTACTGACCTAGTTGATAACCTCGTGGATAAAAATGGCAATGATGAAAACAAACATGCGAATGGATATTTCACTGTAAAAACTGACCACCAAAGACGACAAAAGGGATCATGAGTGAGTCAATTTACCACCCGGAAAAGAATTACAGATAATTGGACATGGGTAAAAAAGAGTATCTTCTATGTTATATAATACTTACGTTATATGATATAAGTATATCATATAATATATGATATACTTATATCATATAACACAGCGTATGTGTAGGTTCCCTTTCTTTCCTTAAAATATTTCTTTTTTTAAGAAATAGGTTCTTTAAAAACCTATAGGTTTTTTAGGTTCCCTTTCTTTCCTTAAAATATTTCTTTTTTTTTTTTTTAACGGAGCAACTTAATAGTGCAAAGTTTAAGTTGATTAATTACAGAGCCTGTGAATAGGAAAAATATTGACCGAGTGACTGGGTACACTTGCTCTCTCGCCATTCACTGAAACATGCAAGCTGAGAGGAGGGAGTGGAAATGGACAGGATAAGCAAAGAAAAGAAGCGGAAGAACGATTGCCCTGCAGGTCTGGTGAGGGACCAGACTGGAGAGTGAAGCGGTGATGTGGCAGCCTGTCTCCTACCCACTCACCACTTGACCTCTGCCCTAAACATCCAGGACACTTAGTTCCCTCCTCCCCATCTCCCGCCCACCCCCCGCCCCCACCGCGCTGGGAGTGAATCACTGTGGTTTTAAAACACTCCATGCAATACAAAGAACTCTCACAGGAATCTTGTCGTTTGAGAGTATCTTTATGTATCATTTCCATCGGTATTGTCCATGAGCTCTTACCAATGATCTAAGAGCACAAGAAGCTACACACGAACACCTTCTGATCGTCAGCAACCTGTTTTGTCCACAGCCACCCCAAAAGGGGGAAAATGAAGCACAGAGAAGCAAACGTCAACCCTACCTGGCAGTGGCAGTGTGAAAAGATCAGACCAAAACTCCCCCAGCAGACCCCAACCTGTGTGATCCAGCGATGGAAGACGATAGGGCCTCTGGTAGAAATGGATGGAAAACCATTCTTACCTTCTCCCTCCTGGAGAGTTAGGAAAAGAGTCTCTACAGCAAACTTGGGTCCCTACCCAAATCCTGCCAGGTGGGTCTTCGCTGTAACAGTACTGAGGAGCAGAGGCCATCTTTCCCATAGGATTGTGAAGAGGGAGTGAGGTGGTGCAGGTGAAGCACCTGGAAGGTGGCCGGTACATATTAAGTGCTCAGGAAGTGCAGCTGTTAGTTTAATCAACATGCCCTTTCCACTCCCCTCTTCCCCCTTTTCTCATTCACTCCGGATTCCTTCCCAGGGAGGCTGGGAGATTATGAATTCCAGGATGCACTTCCCTGGGCTATGCTACCTCTGAGATGCCACCATCTTCTGGTTCTTTCTTCACTGGGGCTGCTGCCCAAACTCCCAGGACTCCCTTAGAAAACTTCTGTTGGAAAAGGCAACCAGCGACTTCCTACCCTTTTCCCTGCTATCACTTTGCAATCCTGGGAGAATGGCGGCCTCGCCCTCCCGGGTTTGCAAAGGGAGGTATGGGATTCTCTGGGGACTGACATTGGAGTACAATTTAAATTGGAAGCTCTCAAGACATCAAAACATGCTTCCTCAATTTTTTTTTTTTTTTAAGTAGAGATTGGAGAAGCTGGCAAATAGGTCTTCGTAAATACAGAAGGACAAAATATAATTTGATTTCTTTCATTAAATTTCTGGGTGAGTGGAGGCACAGAACTCTGTGCCATGGGGCGCGGGGGGGGGGCGGTGAGGGGTGTTTTCTTATTGATGAGATGCACTGCGCAGGTCAGCTCCCTAAACCGAAAAGAGAAGAGCGACTTGCCAGGGCGGGGGGTGTGGCATTAGGGTACCTGCGCCTGTTTAGAGGGCCGTGGATGTGGACGTGCGGGAGGGAGAGGCGTGTCAGGAGAGCGCGGGAAAGATTACTGGAGAGGTGAGGGTGCGTCCGCTCGCCGCGCCCTGGCTCGCGCGGCCCCTGGCCGGGCAAGGGGTGTGATGCGCGAGTGGGGTGGGAGGGGGCAGCAGGCGGGGCCTGCCACGTCACTTGGAGAGAGTGTGTTGGGAAGGAAGGGCAGAGCGGAGAGCCGAGCCGCTGCAGCTGCCGCGGCTGCAGCGAAGGCACAAGGGCTGGGGAGGTGGGTCCGCGCGCCCCGGCGCCGGGGCGGCCCCAGGGCCCTCTCGCAGGCCAGCGGCGCGGCTCGGAGGGAGGCGGTGGCGGCCGCGGCGGCGGGAACGGCGACCTTGGCCAGTGGAGCCCGCGGTGGCCGTAGGGCGGAGGCCGAGCCCCGCCAGGCGTCTTGGCCGAGCCGGAGGGAGGCGCATCTGGCGCTCGGGTCCCAGCGGCGGCCGGGGGTCTGGAGCTGCTGGAGGAGCGCCGCGGGAGCTGGGACGTGCTGACCGGTCTGGAGGGCGGACCCCCGCGTCCCGGAGCCCAGTCTGGTGAGGGCGGGGGCGCGAAGCCACGCTTCTTTCCTGGCGTCCAGCTGCACACGCGCCAGGCTGCGGTTCCAGGTACCACAAGCTGTATCTAGCATCGGGCGCGGATAACTGGGGGCGCGGAGCCGAACCCTCCGCGCCCAGGTCACCTCTCCAGACCTAGCCCGGTGAAGACCAGGGCTTCGGGGCTTAGGGACCCGACGTCGGTCGTACCGCGAGCCCCACCCCGAAAAGAAGGCGCCGCCGAGAGCTGGGAGGCGGCGCCGCGCCCGGGAGGTCGTGTCGTGGGCGCCGTCCTAGTGGCGGGGAGCGCACCGCGGAGGGGACATGCGATCGGAGAAATCCCTTACGTTGGCGGCGCCGGGGGAGGCCCGTGGGCCGGAGGGGGAGCAACAGGATGCCGGAGACTTCCCGGAGGCCGGCGGCGGCGGCGGCGGCTGCTGTAGTAGCGAGCGGCTGGTCATCAACATCTCCGGGCTGCGCTTCGAGACGCAGCTGCGCACCCTGTCGCTGTTCCCCGACACGCTCCTGGGGGACCCCGGCCGCCGTGTCCGCTTCTTCGACCCGCTGAGGAACGAGTACTTCTTCGACCGCAACCGGCCCAGCTTCGACGCCATCCTCTACTACTACCAGTCGGGGGGCCGGCTGCGGAGGCCGGTCAACGTGCCGCTGGACATCTTCCTGGAGGAGATCCGCTTCTACCAGCTCGGGGACGAGGCCCTGGCTGCCTTCCGCGAGGACGAGGGCTGCCTGCCCGAGGGTGGCGTGGACGAGAAGCCACTGCCCTCCCAGCCCTTCCAGCGCCAGGTGTGGCTGCTCTTCGAGTACCCGGAGAGCTCGGGGCCCGCCCGGGGCATCGCCATCGTCTCGGTGCTGGTCATCCTCATCTCCATCGTCATCTTTTGTCTGGAGACGCTGCCGCAGTTCCGCGCAGATGGTCGAGGTGGAAGCAATGGTGGTGGTGTCTCCCCGGTGTCCAGGGGCAGCCAGGAGGAAGAAGAGGATGAAGACGATTCCTATACGTTTCATCCTGGCATCACCGCGGGGGGAATGATGGCAGGGGGCTCATCCCCACTAAGTACCCTTGGGGGCTCCTTCTTCACCGACCCCTTTTTTCTGGTGGAGACGCTGTGCATTGTCTGGTTCACCTTCGAGCTGCTGGTGCGCTTCTCCGCCTGCCCCAGCAAGCCAGCCTTCTTCCGCAACATCATGAACATCATCGACTTGGTGGCCATCTTCCCCTACTTCATCACCCTGGGCACCGAGCTGGTGCAGCAGCAGGGACAGCAGTCCGCCAGTGGAGGCGGCGGCCAGAACGGGCAGCAGGCCATGTCCCTGGCCATCCTCAGAGTGATCCGCCTGGTCCGGGTGTTCCGCATCTTCAAGCTGTCCCGCCACTCCAAGGGGCTGCAGATCCTGGGCAAGACCCTGCAGGCGTCCATGCGGGAGCTGGGTCTGCTCATCTTCTTCCTGTTCATCGGAGTCATCCTCTTCTCCAGCGCCGTCTACTTCGCAGAGGCTGATGATGACGATTCGCTCTTTCCCAGCATCCCGGATGCCTTCTGGTGGGCCGTGGTCACCATGACCACAGTAGGTTACGGGGACATGTACCCCATGACGGTGGGGGGCAAGATCGTGGGCTCGCTGTGTGCCATCGCCGGGGTCCTTACCATCGCCCTGCCCGTGCCCGTCATCGTCTCCAACTTCAACTACTTCTACCACCGGGAGACCGAGCAGGAAGAACAAGGCCAGTACACCCACGTCACTTGTGGGCAGCCTGCCCCGGACCTGAAGGCAGCCGACAACGGACTTGGCAAGCCTGAATTCTCGGAGGCCACCCGGGAGCGGAGACCCAGCTACTTTCCCACTCCACATCGGGCATATGCAGAGAAGAGGATGCTCACCGAAGTTTGACGGATGCAGGCCGGGCCTGCACGGAAGGAAGGACACTGAACAAACGATCCCTTAGGGCTCCTTGTCATTCTCCACTACTCGCACCCCAGCTCCAGGTGACTTCCTGACTCCCCCCACCACCCCCACACCCAGTGGCTGGCGCCAGGACCACACACCTGGACTCTCAATCTTGTTACTTGACCCCTGCAGCATCCAAGGTTTCTCCATCTAAGTGGCATTTTCCAAACTCTAACGGTGCCACCTATTCGTGCCCATCTTCTGTCACATGGATGAGATTTCCATCTGACCTTCGTCCCTCAAGACTCTGATTTTTCATGTCTGGGACTTGTAATATCTCTAGGAAGAGCGATGTTGACAAGATGGAAACCAGGCACACCTGGGTCCTTTTTCTCCTTAGCGTCTGTGGCTTTGGGGCATGCACCAGTCTTAGCTTCTGGCCACGTGGTAACTGGCAGAAACGGGTGGACAGAAACAGTACTCCTCCTTTGTTTTCCTCCAGCGCCCTGTAACACCGGCTGCTCCTCCTGAAGGGGACCCCTGGGAGAGCCTTCAGCTGCCCAGCCTGATACTACGCTATACATCTCTAATCTTGGATGGAATTAGAGAAACTACAATTACACTGGGCCATTTGGAGGATGTGAGAGTCAGTCCTGGACCAAAGGGGCCAATGGATTCTTCCAGGTGCGAGCTGGCACGGTAGACACATCAGTCTTTGGTCTGCACCTCGTTCTCCCCACTCTGATCCCTTGACCCTCTCGAGCTTCCAGGAAGGCTCCTTCTCAGAGCCAAATACTCTTCCTGTGCAGAGGAACTGGCAAAGGGGAACCCACAGAGCTGGGAGAAATGGCCGGATATAATCAAGCACCTGGCTTGACCGCTCATCAGAAGAGAGGCGCCACGGAGACAGTACCGTCTAGGGGGGCAGAGGAGTCTTCTGCAGACAGCAGATTTCTCTCCCTCACTTCCCCCGACCCTCTCTAGTCCTCCACCCTTCTTCCTGGGAGTCTGACTTAGGATTGCTGTTGAAGGCTTTCTAAAGCAGACTCCAGCCTAAACCCACAGACAGGTAGCAGCACACATTGGATGCTAGCGTGGGCTTTTTTTTTTTCCTTTCCATTTCGTGGGCAATGAGACAGGTGGTTTAGAGTAAGGAAGAAGCATTATTCCTTTGCTGACAGCCTCACTGTTAGAGGTTTCTGCTGAGTCAAGCAAACATTCTCCTGCTCTGGCCCTGGAGCTGCAGCCCACAGCTCTCACTGGTAAGGTGCCACTTAGACCAAGTCATCTTCTTCCGTTGTGAACCCCTGTTTCTGTCCCCTCATCACATCGTCATTCATTTGTTGCCTTGATCAACTGTGATGCACTGTTCTGAGCTCTCCTGGGTACAGTTCAGAAACCGGAAGGACTGTTAATGAGTTTTTAATTTTATAAACTAGGCTTTACGGCTCCTTGATAAGAATTTTTTAAAAAATCTTTTCTCAAAGAGCAAACTTATGAGGGACAGACAGCCTCTTGAGGGTTTTCTTGAGAGACACTGTCCGGATGTTGCCACACTTTACAGGGTAACTTGGGTGCCACAGTCCCTCTTTGTGCCTCAGTCTCCCCACCCATTCAATGGGAACATTCATGTCTTCCCCCCACCCCCACCTCATGGGGAACGGCCCCGTGAACTCATCTGGGAGGCTGGGGATGACGCTATGCAAATGTGTGAACTTCCGTAATGGTTTCTAGTTCATTACCACGTTTCCCCATCCCCCACAGGCAAGGCCTCCCCTGAGAGTTCCTGCCTTGGATCCAGAGCCCATGCACAGGCCATTCTGGGCCATTAGCTCTTTAAATCCCTCCCTAGCCTCTCAGACTGGGCCTTGGTCTTTCTTCTTACCTTTTGGCCAGGAGGATGCTCTCTTTGGAGCGATCCAGTGGGATCCTTTTGGGGCCAGACACCATCATCCTGATTGGGAGCTTGGCTTCTCCAAACCTGAAATGCAGGAGGAGATGCTCATGATTCAGACACTTGCTCTGAGCCCATAGAATGCCAGGTTTCCAAATGTCTTCTGGAATATTACTCCTGGCAATTCGGGGGAAAGAGGAGGCCCACGCAGAGGCAAAAGCGATGCTCCCGGCGAGGGTAATGTTGGAACACGTATGCATGTGTCTCTGTATGTGTGTGTGTGTCATCCTCATCACCATTTCCTTTTCAAGTCAGAGCATGCCCGAAAGTAAAGGGTTTATGGAGAGCTGGGCTCTCCAGGGACTCTGGTTGCCGTAGCAACCTTCCAGACTGTTCTCTCTATCTTCTGATTTGGGCAGCCAGGGAGAACAGGAGACTACGTATTCCCAGCTTCTGAAAGGGGGACGCCTCTCACATATGGCTTTAGGGGCTGGTAGGGCTAGGACAGGGATGCGTGACCTTCGGAAAATGAAGGGGAAGCGGGTCCCCAAAGCTTCCTATCTGGACCTTTCTTCCTGGCTTCCCCACCCAGTCACTGAAGCTGCCTCATCCCACCCCTGAGTCTTCAGAAACTTGAATGCCAAGCAACTGCCGGTGAAAGCAATGTCCATATTATTGTTTTTGAAATGGCCTTGGAGGGGACTAGCTTCTCCCGAGGTAGTCAAGCTGGGCCTCGCCAAGGGTCATACTAGTTTTAGTCCATAAAAGCACTGCGGGGCACTCACGTCCTCAGAGAGAGGCTCCTCCCAGCTCTGAGAGAGACAGAGAAATGATGCTTCTGCTTCCCAAGGAACAGTCTAGCTCTTGGGAGGAATCTCATAGGTGGTTCATCTTAAGATGTCGAAGAAAAACTGAGAGGCGGTGACCTGACCTAGTTCCTGTGAAGGATTCTGCCAAGTGACCCCCTCTGACTCTGAGCCTCTTGACGTGGATTTTGCTCCCTGAGCGCCGCGACGATCTGCGCCCGGTGTGGCTGTGACAGCTGGGGTGGCGATTTCGCAGCTGCCAGCAGAGGGGTTCAGGTCATCGTTACGCCTGACTCGGGCCCACAGGAGCGCCCAGAGGTCTTCCTGGATCTGTGAAGCTCAGCTGAGACGTGGGAGGTGACTCCTGCCAGATCGGCCCCAGGAGAGAAGGGGACAGCTGGCCGTCTTTGCACCCGAGGTAGGTTCTCCTGCTGGGGAATATCCTTCAGGCCAAATGAGAACAGGGGTGGGAAGCGCCAGAGAGAGGGCGGGAGAGGGTGTGTCTGGGGGAGGGGGAGGCTTTGGTTTCCTTTCCTCAGCGGCTACCTGGCTCTCTGTGTGTTTTTGTCTGCATGTACTTTACTCTCCTTCTCTGTTTCTGTCCCCACACTCGTACCTCCCTCCTTCCTCCCCTTCATATATATATGTATATATATGTATATATAATTTTTGTATTTATTTTGGCCGCGCCGGGTCTTCGTTGCGGCACGTGTGTGGGATCTAGTTCCCCGACCAGGGATTGAACCCAGACCTCCTGCCCTGGAAGCATAGAGTCTTACCCACTGGACCACCAGGGAAGTACCCCCACATCCCCTTCTAATCACCCCCTTTTCTCTGTACTTTCCCCTTCCTTCTTCTATTCAGTGTCACTTTCTCTGCCTCGTGTTTCGTTCTCACATCTCTGATTTTCCCCCATCTGCTGTTTGAACTTCTTCTGCCTCCTCTGTGTATCTTTCTCTCTGTCTCTCTCTTACATTCTCAGGGGCTGGGAGCACCTTGGGCATTTCCCTTGAGGTTGCTCGTTGGACTCTAGGACGGCTGTGACCTAGGGTGTTTGCTCAGAAGGTTGTTCTCCAGCTGGAGGACCCCCTTTTTCCTGTCATCTTGCTACAGCATCCTTTCCTAGGGTACTCACCTCTGTGGGCAGAGTCCCGAGCTTCTGGAGCAAGGGGGGATTGCTGTGGGTTTAGAAGATGTCTCGGACAAAATTTCTTGAATCTGCAAGGATAAAATAGAGAAGGAGAGAGAGAGAGAAGGAACCTGTTAGCAATACCTTTCAGAGAAATACTTTGTGTAGCACAGGACTATGCTCACCTCAGGGTCCCCCAACCTTAAGGAGCTTACAGAAAGGTTCAAGACAATGGCACAGTGGAAACAGTGAAATAAACACAGAAAAGAGGGCTTAGGAGGAAGGCATAGCGTGGAATTAGACTAGAAAAAGTCTTCATTCAAGGGCGACCTTCTGACTGCCCTTAATTCACTCGAAGGGTCTCAGAGCTGTCTCTCTTGTCCCCTGAAGGCAGAAGAAAAGCAAAGGACATAAATGTCAGTGGTGCAAGGTGCGGGGGACACTCCTTGGCATGATGGGTTAAGATTTACCAACCGGTCCAGAGGGAAGCTTGTGCATCTCCTTGCTGGAGGTCGTGTAGGCTGAGTCCCACCTGCATCAGGATATCAGGCGGCTTTTGGAGGGTAAGGGACATTTTCTAAAGGAGGATTGTGGTGACAGTTGTACAGCTCTATAAGGCAACCCAAAAAAGTCACTGAATTGTTAAAAAAAAAAGTGACGTGAGACTAATAACCTCAGAGTTTCACCTCTTGTCTGGGAGATGCTTTGGTTTTAAAAATCTAGAGGTTAGGCCTCTCTAAAGATGGACCAGCCTGCGTATTCAGGATGGAAGGACAGTTTTTTTTCTCTGCCACACGGGGACACTTTAGAACTTTCATACAGTTGCTGCCTGCTCCTCCCTTCCAGTGCCAAGAGCTGTTTGTTTTCTTTTGTTCTGAATTTTGACAATGAAACCTTTGTGGGACTGACATGCCCCTTTCTTTTGGCTCTGAAGACAGGCCAAGCCATTCCTGGTCCTTACAGAGCCTGGTTAGCATGTACTGAACCAAAGGCAGAAACCGCCACCTTACCTCTGTACCTGGAAACTCAGAATTCCTTAAGAAATTACACAGGCGTCAAGGTGTTTTTCTCCTGGCCGGGTCCCTACCCTCCAGCTGCTGATGGGGCCCCGCAGGCTGTGGTGCTTCCAGGAAACAGAAGAAGTAGGGGTGAGAGTCTTCCCTTAGGTCGTCCTCCTCCAAGAACGCTCATTGGATGTCATTCCTCGCTCTCTCTCTCTCTCTTTTTTTAAAAAAATATTTATTTATTTATTTGGCGGAGCCAGGT